CAATTTAAATAGTAGTGATTTGTGAAAACAAATACTGAATATAGCAAATACACTAAGACCCAAGAAAATGACAAAAAAATCATTGGTCAATTTGTTAGCTAATACTTTTTTTATTTAAAAAAATTATTTCTCTCTCAAAAACCTGAACAAATATTTCCACAAAAGAAATAATTTTTTAAGTTAATTGATGCGTGCAATAACCAGCAAAAGGAATATTGTTTTGAGGGCCCGATCGGTAATATCTGCAATTGTGCTTTTTTCAACAGCAAATTCTACATGTGTACAGGGTATGGATGATAAATATGGTAGAGGGTAAAGAGTAAAGTGTAAATAGATATATCTGGTATATCAGACATACCAACCTACAATTGAGATTACAAGGTCATGGGTGATTCCCAATCACTACTGTGTAAAAATCATGATTGCCCTCATTAAAATAGTTCCACTAGACAACCCATTAGAGAAGTACATTACAATGGTCCATATTATAATGTTATAGCTAAGCTCAGCACCAATGGTAATACATTCTCAGCTGAACACTGCAAGTCTTTGTATGAGATGAGCAAACATGAACACTGAGACTCGACTTTTAAGCGAGTTTTTTTTTAAGGTTTAGTTTTTCTTTTTCTTTTCTCCTTCATACATTCATCATAGTTTTAGACATGATTAATAGCATCAGTTTTTTTGTAAATGTTTTGTACATTTTTACCATGTTCAGTCCAATTTTAATTCTTTCTTGAGGATTTTAAATAAAGTACACATATAGAGAGAAGACACTGAAATGCATAAAACATGAATAATACTGTTTAACCTAGAAGAGTTATTCATCCAAATACATGTCAAGAATAACAGCCTAGCAACATAGTCATTTCCTGAAATTGCCTTCTGATACAAAGCAACATGCCGGAAGACTGCACCAAATCAATTCATACTACACAATACAATAGTAAAAAGACCAGTACTTAAATTCCCTTCTCAATTGGATGAGAAATGGAGCACAGCAAAAAAGGCCATGAATCTAAGAACTGCTAGTGGTTAGTGTATTGCTTTCAGGGACACAATGCCCCTCTCTCAGACAGCAATATTTACCGATTGACTCTCACCTTTGTAAAGTGGATTTACACTCGCAAAAATACAAGATTCATAAGAGTAAATTACCTCAATACATAAAAGGGGCCCATCTGGTCATTTCATTTTCATCTGATTCGCACAAACAAGAACAGTGTTTAATTATTTAAAACTTAAATAAATACTGGTAAAATAATTAAAACCATAAAATTCACATTTCAATTCCAAACTTACAGTCAAAGGACAAGAAGCATGGATTTAATCAATGTTCATATTAATTCCATATAATTTGAGTGATGGAATGGTAGGAAACATAATAATCGTTTTATACTTTGATAAATATCAATCAAAACCTTCGTAACACCATCAGGGTCTGATTGTTTGTGGCTTGTGCTTGAACATGATAAGCTCATGAAATAAATATGGTGTTGATATAAATAAATTTCCACAGACAAGTCTAAAAATATCCTAACATGGTCCTCACAACATGATCAGAACAAGTATTAGTCTAAGTCTGTATCAAATCGCACTGGCTGCTACATCTGTATATTACAATTTACCTTAATGGTAAATCTGCCACCAAACCATGTTTATAAGAATTACAGTGTGACAGCGGCGCTGACATTCCAAAGCTATCAGTTATATAGTTCTTGATAAACGGTTTAAGATGTGGGTGTAACATTTGCATATTTTGATGAGCAGGAAAATCAATCCAGACTAATTAATTTCTGTCAAGAAAGTCAAGATGATGAGGCTCACAAGGGCTTTATAACCCGATGACAGTTTTTAGTATATGGATAGGGACAGTTATGTGACATCCAACCATGAAGCTATGTAGAACCACGCTTAAGCATGAATGAATTACCTACCGTATAACTGACATGGTTAGATCATTCTAGCAAACTCAGAATCTTGAAAACTGAGTATCACACAGCTTGACTGATTAGTAAAATGCTGGAATGCCGACACGTACAGGATTCCCAGCTATAATTGCACCGTAATTATAAGCATTACATCACAAGCAATAGACCCAGAACATCAATTCTTATGACATCTTCAGTTGAGCAGTATCATTTTATCTGTCATATCTGTGAAATCCAGTTGCTTTGTCTTGTCTCCACTCACACAGGCCACATCTCAAATCTGGCCTCTTTACATTTCTAACATGTTACTGCCATCAACGTGTACAAGTAAAAGCTATTCCACATCAACTCAAACAATTTAACGATAACCCATGTACTGGACTAGAAGACATACAGGCTAAGCTCCCCTAAGCTTGACGAAAAAAGCTACTATAATCTATTTAAAATGGGAAACATTTCTGAATACAGTTTTCTACTTGCATTAAAAGCTACCAATACAGCATATTGACAATTACAAATTTGGATAAGGCTGAAATAAGCTTATTAACTTAAATAAATGTAATTGATTGAATTCAAGTGAACACAATCAATATATCTCAGTATGCTGTGATTTTCTAGCCAGTCATTGACATGGCTGTGTAAAAATATGCTCTAATGACATATTGGACAAGGTTTCTCCAGTGTGTGTATGATATTACACATAGAGAAAGCGGTTTATTGTCTTTTGAAAGATATCTATTACCTGAACTAGCCATAGTGCACATGGTTCCCACACACAGGCAGGGTACAACAAATCTAATTTATTCTGTAGTTTTCACTACATATTTAGTTTGTCCACTTTTATAATTTCTTAAATTTATTTTCATTTATTTTATTCCAGAAGAAATAAATCAGCAGAAATAAAACCCAGCAGAAAGTATTACATTTCACACATAGACAATGTAGAAAACAGTGACAATAAATACAACATATACTAAATTTAATGAAAATATAGTATTCTACACAACACATAATGACAAGGTCAGTAAGCACAGGAGGCCATAGCAAATATAGATTGAAAAATACAATATACTGTATTTGCTCTATTTGAAGTGCATTTCTATTAGAAGCAAATATAAACAGTTAAATTAAATAGTATACTGGATTATTCAAATTTATTTTGACCATATTAACATAAGGTCATGTGCTACTAATAGATGAAATATGGTATATGTGCATGTGGAAATTAAACAATATGCATTTCATTATTAAGGCATGTGTATTTTATAACTAATTTAGACCTGATACTGACTCCTATGTTGGCATATTTATATGATCTTAATGTTCTATGCAAATATTGGCATTTACTGTGCTGTAAAATGGCCATCATCATAATATGAATCCTTTGATTATTTAGCAATTATTGACCCCTGCAGAGATGACACTGAACAAAACAGGTAATAAATATCATGGAGTTATCACTTAGATTAAAAATAGATCAAGAATGAGGAAAACATAGTAAAAATACATTATTGCTGTGGCTACTTCCTTTTTGTAACTGAAAGTGTTCACTGAAAGCCATAATAAAAAACTCAAAAATGCAATCTATATATATATATATAATGATATTAGAAATGAAAACAGTTTAAATTTTGCTGCTTCGATTATACGGGGAATCAGTGATTTGAGGTGTGAGAGCACAAATTAGTATTAAAATCTACTTCCTGTAACTGCAGCCAAATGTTCACTGATTATTCCCAACATATGAAATTCATTAATCTCTTGTGAAATTAAAGTAATTGTTGTAATATACTAATACTAAATATTTTTTTATTTATTTATTTATTTAATCCATTTACTTATTTGACAGAGATATCTGAGTATTAAAAACAGAGAAGTTGTTTTATCCATTATCAACTCAAGGCCATGAACATTCATACAATTTATTAGTAATAACATTTTCTGAAGTTCGTAAATTCTCTTAATTTAGTTGATAAACATAAATGCACAGATGATCTTCTTATATACTAGTGTTAACAGTGTTAATCTATTTGCCCAATCTAATCTGCGAGTTCAATGCAATAAATATTTCCTGCTTATCATAGGTCATAGTTCACTATAATTAAACAACACACATCAACAAATACCACACACAATTTTATCTACTGCACTTGCACCCATAGTATTTGTCAGTTTTTTTAACAATACTTTAAGTTCTTATTTTATCAATATGTCACGCTAGCGGAATTAGTTTATTATATTTTTATATTTACATTTACAACCTTCTAATGCACTCAGCAGAAGGAGTTAAATATAGGCCAAATTGGATATACCAGTCATTATCATGTTAAATTCATTCTAACAATGTGTGTTTGGCATGACATATAACAGTAACAAAGAATGTTACTCAACTCTTGAATATTTTATCATGCAGCAACAATAGAAACAGAATTTTCAATTTCAAGGACACATTTAAATACTGTTATTATTATTATAGAGGACTTTATAATTGCTGCACAGACTGCAGCAGATGGTGATTTGATATTATACACTAAAGAGTATGGAATAGTTTGTTATCACTCAAAACAGACCAAGAAAAATAAATATAATGCCCAAATAGACAATCAAATATCTCAATTCAAAATTAGTCACATAAGCTATAAATAAAAAAAAGATCATCTAAACAGTTCCATGATTTTATGAAGTGAAGACAAAATTATAGTAATTTCATTATAAAGTTGAGTAACTGATGCACTATCAATGACTTTTAAATAGTTTGAAGGAAAACCACAACATACCAGCATGTTTTTGAATCTAGTCTGATAATGATATTGCTGTCAATTTAATCTGATTTTTGTTTATTTACTCTTACTTCGAGGAGATACAAGGCGAACCACTTTCTAATACGACCACCATAATAGACGATGGTTTATGTGCCATTCTCACTGCGGTAATCATTACAGTAATACATGGCTAATCCGACTATCATCTGGGATAATATTTTCATTTTGACACGTGATTTCCCTGGTAGCGATCTGCGTCACCGCCATTTTGCGGTGAAGGGTGTACACGGAAATAAAACAAACCCACCTGTTTTCAAACGTACTGTCCGTTGAATCGTGTGAATCTTGTGACGTGTACGGAAAATCTTCTACTTTTAAAAAATGTTTAGTAAGTTCGTCTAATTGCTCTCGTAAATCGTCGCGTTCTTTACGATATTTTTCAACTTGCAACTCCAGCAGCTCGATTTGAAATGTCTGTGATTTTATTGTCTTCGCCTGCATGTAAAAAAACAAAACAAAAAAACAATGCGATCAGAAAGTTGGTAGTGGTGTATTGACTTTAAAAATTAAGAGCGAGTGATCTGCGATTAAGAAACGCCCCCTCTTTTATCGCAACATGGTCCACTGGGATATACAGAGCAGCTGCACGAAAGGAACCAGTTTCGATAAATAAAGTTTGAAAACATCGCGCCAGTGTAAGCACAGTTTATGTGAAGTTGCAGAAACTTACCTGATCCTTTATAATGTCTCTCATATCACACAGCAGTGTGAAACTTTTCGTCGAGTTGTCAATAGGGACTTCTGCCATTTTATCGGGATAATGAACAAGTTCTGCCCGGATCCAGTAATTACGAGCACTACTACCAAACCGCCATTTTGCACCTCTTATCAATACGACCCCCTAGGGGTCAACGGTCACGCAGCAAGTATAGTTAATCGTTTTATATTTTCCCTCCTCATCGACAACTAAAAAATAACTAAAATCTTTTCCAGGCATTTTAATTTTAATGGGTAAGTATCTGTATATATCGTTCTGAAATTAGATGTTCATTACAATATCTACCAGTTCCCCTTCCTACCATTTTGATCAAAACGCTTAAGTTAAGGAACCCGTTTTTTTATTGTAGAGTATTACGCCCTCTGTTTACTATGTAGTAAAACAAAACAGAAACCGACGAAGTACAGTACAAACAGATTAGCCAATACAGCGTACATCGTTGACAAAAATTAAAATACTGATAGTGTACACTCTAAATTATTGTAATGCGTAAAAAATGTCGGCGGAGATATAAACTTTAAGTGTCAGTTCATGGAATTGTTGTATTGTTTACAATATCTCCTACACGTTCTTCACAGTAGTATAAAAGAACATTGTTATGTATATTCTTATTGGAAATATTTTTTCAGAATAGAGTAGCTAGTTGATTTGAAACAAGCATTTGAAGCGCTGTTTTTCAGATCTGAGGTGCGACGTCAAATTTGACAAACGAAATATGTGGTGTGCAGTCATCGGTAGAGGGCGCAACGCAAGCCAAGGTGCTCATGGTACATGAACACTGACATACATGGGGCGAAATGGACCATGTTAATTTCATGACAGTATAAAGAGTTCGCAACATTTTATGGAAATTGTGATTCTAGTTTTAAAAATGTTTGAAAACAAACCAGTAGCTCTATCAAATGTATTCAAATATTTTGTCAAAAGCTGGTCAGAGGTTGGGAGAAATCATCAAACTACAACTGAACCAATGAAGAAATTACAGTTAAATTATTTTATTTGATTCCACGTGTTTTCTTATAATATAAGGTCATCAAATATTAGCATAATACAAATTGAAACGTGTCACTACACGAAATTCGACGTCTGAATACCAGTAAGCTATGTAAAATCTAAAATTCCCCTTACCAGAATGTGGTCATAAAAACATGTCCCGGATTAGTCAGAAACATGTCTCGTTTATGTTTCTGCGAGAAGAGATGTTTTAGACATGTCCAAAACATGTCTGAGACAGTGTGCACTCATACTAAGATATGTTTGTAACATGACTGAAAAATTTCCTAAATATCATATTTTTAAAACTAGTTCAAGACTGAGGGCAGGCATGTTTTAGACAAGTCTTTAAAATGTCCCAGATTTTCTCAGTAAATTTCCAAACCTTGCTGTTCATGAAGTTGTAATCAAAATACAAAATTGGATATGAACAATTCTCAGACTAGTCTCAAACATTTCTCAAATAGACTTATAATATTTTCGCACCCTGACGCACACATACGCAAATTCCTCCATAATGTATTCATAACAGGGCCTCTCCATATGGTCCACAGTACTGATGATCAGTACCGGGCCATAATGGAGAGTCTTCTGTACTGGACCAGAATGATTGTTCTTCAGTACTGATCCATAAGCTCTTTCTCCAGTACTGGTTCATTATGGAGGGCTGTCATTATGGTCCATTACTGAAGATCGGTACTGGTCCATTAATGGAGAGCTATCATTATATGGACCAGTGCTTGACCATGTCATGTCTGACTGTTATTATTCAAATACTATATACGAGCTATTACGTGCCATTAACATTACATTGCGATCGAGGCTATCGTTACGCAATAACTGTGATGTCATCATAACACGTGTATTATTAATAAACGGGTTGTTCACCATCTTGTAAGATTCGACTGATGTTTACTTTGTGACAGACCAGTGCTGGACCATTTATGTAGGGTTATCCTTCTAGAAAAAACAGCGCCCTCACACCAAGTGCATAGGCTCTGTTTACACCAATTCGCCATTTTGAGGTGGCACAATTCCGTCTGAGCAACAATCGCTCTGTGAGATAGAGGGACTGCGTTTCAGCCAACCATTCATTCATTTACCGTTGTTTGATTTAATGGAAACACATATATTATTGGTCTACTGCACTTTCGAGCTATAAATGGCTTCGTTTTACATCACAATAGAGGAAACCAAACCACCAACAATGGAGGATAATACAATACAATACAATACAATACAATACAATACAATACAATACAATACAATAATACTTTATTATCACCGTAAAGAAATTACAATCCTTTTTGGGCTCTGAGTAATAAAGTTAAATTAATAAATATGAACACAAATTAATTATAGTATCAAAGAAACAAAGAAAGTTACTAAAGATAAGATAAGATAAGATAAGATAAGATAAGATAAGATAAGATAACAGCTTTATTACAACCGTGTAGAAAATTTTACATTTCTAATTTGGTGTTTAAAATGTAATAAAGTTAATAATGAATGACTAAAAAAGTAAGTAGGCGAAAGTTGAGTAAATAAAAAGTTAAATAAGTGTGACTGAGTGTATTCTTTTGTTTGTTCATTTACTGTTACTCAAGTACACATAGAGGGCTATAATAGTAACTTTAAATCTACGTGCCATTAACATTACATTGCGATCGAGGCTATCGTTAATCTTTATCTTTAACTAAATGTTTCTTTTCAAGTTTGCATTATCAATGTATTGGATTAGTGTTTTCAGTAAATGTTTATCTGATGCGTTGATGATTGTCTTGAATTTTTCTGTTTTGTCCATCTCATGTAAATTAGTAAATATTTTGTTAAATTCATCGTAAAGAGTCTTTCTTTCAGAAGAGTAAGCTTTACAAAATGTAATGAAGTAGATTGCATCCTCTAATACATTGCATGTTTTGCATAGTCTCTTGCTGAGTGGTGTTTTTGGACGAGTATGTCTTCCTACTTCAATCTGTAATTTGTGGCAAGTAAGCC